TGGAAGTTTCGTTTTTGTTTTTCTCTTTCAAGTCATATTCAATCTATACTGATAACGTACGAATTTTGTCGGATCTATAGTACTATAGTGCCGGTGAGTATTAGTTTTCTTCGAAAGGAAACTGGACGCCTCTTTTTCTCCTCTTTTTTTTCAAGAATGCTGGGCATCTTTTTTTCTCTTTTTTTTTACAAAGTGTTAGTGAGATGCCAGATCTATTTCCAAATATTTTTTCACATGATAACTCTTATCTTTCTCTAAAAGATGACGTAATTTGATTAATAACTTCATATTAGTTTGTTGTAGATGGTATCGATTTATAGAGAGTGATCGAAACTTTTGAACCACCCTTTAGAGAATTTTAACATTGAACAGAGCCTATCTGAGCTTCTTTTATCTCCTCAATCTAAGACGATTCGAGCCTACTCAAGCTTTTTCATATGTTTAGCTTAGGATAATTCTAACCTGTCCAAGCCTTTATCTGTCCCAGTTTGAGCCTACCCAAGCCTACCCGACTCCAATCTAGGGTAGGCTCGAGCCTACCCAGGCCTCGTGGCTCCGCCGCCTATGATTGCTTATCATACGAAATTTGAGATTATACAGTTGGACAATTCCTTGTCCGTTATATATTTCATTAAAAATAAATTGTCTTATTTTTTTAAAATTTTATTCTTTTCATTGATTTTTTCATCTTCTCTTCTAACGATGAAGATTTCTCTAGTCCTATTGCTTGTTTTTTAAAGGTGTGGGAAGGTAAAAATGATAGCTGTAGTTCTCATATTCATTGTTTTCTCAAATATTCATTATATAGGTCTGTATTTTTTGTTATATACTCAAATAAAATAGATGTGATACGGCAAAACTGAATAGAGTATAGACTTATGAGTGTTTTACATAAACCAGTAGAATACACGAAACATTCGGTACTACAAGGCAAATAATCAATTGTCGTACTCAGATGAGTATTTTCGCTAGGACAGAAACCATTCTTGAATCGATTCCGATGCGAAAATTTCCAATCCATTGGGAATGGGTGCAGAAAAACAGCATTATTCTTCCTCGTCTTTTCATGAACCTTTGATACAATATCTATTGATTTTCCGTTAGCACAAAGCTCGGTTTGTTTCCTAATAATTGATTTGGTGTGCATTAAACTCATCGTTTTACTTTGTACAATGTACAAATATGTTTTTTTTCGCTAGGTTTGACATTTCGATCGATTCGAAAGTTTCATAATCTCATAAACGATAAGTTTAGTTTAGAGATGCGCTTCACATCACGTTAGTACTATCCAGTTTAAATCGAAATGATATTGAATGCGCCTAACATTTTTAGCTGATCGGAGATTTCTTCCGATGTTCTCTTTGCCATATTCGTTATTACACTGAAATGGAACGTAACGAACGAACAACAAGAGTATAAAAAAAAACCAGAAATAAATTTTAACTTAATCATTGTAATGATGAGATTATTGATCTGAGACGATTATTCATCAGTAGATATCCATATTGAATATAACTCTTTGTTGTCTATATCATCTACTTTTAATTTACTAACTTATATGACTAACGAGTAAAAACATGACCAAAATTACCTTATTGTTTTGAGTGCTCTTATCGGATCCACAGCTGTATTCTATTCAATTAAGAAGCATGGCACGTTCTACCGTGGGAGACACAAAACGAGTAAAGTGTTGAATTGGGATTTTAACGAATGTATGCAGCTGCTGTAGTAATATTTTTATCTATCGTTCGTCGATTATTATTTGCCGTAGCAATGGTAGATGAGTAGATTCGATGTGATTCAGACAATGAACATTTCTCATTAGCACGATAATTATCGTTCAGTTCTTTCCTTATTCCAACAAGAAGAGAACAATGACGTGAAGACAAATTCTTTTCTTTTAAATCAATTTTTTAATAGATTTTAAATGGTGATAAAAAAAAAGGCCCCCTCATTAATATTCTTCCATATTTTGCATTAAAATTTGGTCTTGTCATTTTGGTCTCTTTATTCGTTTCTTCTATCTTCATTTTATACAAGAGACCAGTTAGTTAGCTACACATTGACTAGTCTGTCAATATAGGCAAACTCTTGTTTTTCCGTTCGAAGTATTCAGCGGAAATAAACTTCTTGCTTCTTTACTTCAGTGATGATGAATAATAATGTAGAAAAAAAATGTACCATGACATAGACATGAATAAAGTTGTGCGTCATCATGTTGACAGCAAAATACGTATGTTCCTTATGTCAATAAAAGATTACACATATTGCTGATGACGTCGAGGGTATGACGCTAATGGAAGAAAACAGTACACTACGGCTCTATATAAATATAAAACCATTTTTGCTTTATTTATCTTATCTATAACTATGGTCAAGGCATAGATGTTTTTCATTTTAGATATATATTTTTTTAGTTTAATCTTCTAAAACGTTGATGTCTTACGCAAACGTCGCCTCACCACAATATCCTAATATGCCTATTCCTACAGCTCCAATGCCATCAACCACAGAATCAAATTATAATGGCCCATTTCCTAATGCAATGACAACGGCTGAAGCACGTATGCAAAAATTTGCAGAAATTTCAGCTCGATATGAAATCAGTCATGAATTTGCAACTCGCCTACGACAACTTGAAGGTTATGAAATTGTCTTTTTATGTGATGATTCAGGTTCAATGGGAACTGCTGTTGGTAAGTTATATTTCTTTTTCTATGTTTACATCAGTAATATATTGTTTCTAAGATGTAAACCATTTTATTGACTATTTATCTTTTTTTTGTAATAGGAGACACTAACAATGCTTTTGCTGTACGTTCTACTCGTTGGGATGAATTAAAACAAATTGTATCTATCACTGTTGATATCGGTTCTGTACTTGATCCTGATGGTTTAGATATCTATTTTCTTAATCGTCCTCCACTTTTACATGTTAAACATTCATCTGAATTGATACCAGCTTTCGCTCAACCACCCAATGGTTTAACACCAATTACACGTGTACTTCGTCAAATACTTCAAGCTAAACAGAATGAAATTCAAGAACGTAAACTTTTGATTATTATTGCTACCGATGGACAACCAACTGATGATAGTGGTAAAACTGATGTTGGATCATTAGAACGTGTTCTTAAACATGAAAGAAAACCAGCTGATAGAATATTGATAACATTCTGTGCATGTACTGATGATGATCAAGCTGTCGGATATTTAAATAGATGGGATGAAACAATTCCTTATCTTGATGTTTGTGATGATTATCGATCAGAACGAAAAGAAATCTGGCGAGTAAGTCATTTATTAATTAAAAGAATTTTTCTAAAAGAGGTCTATTATATAAATTCATTGTTTCAACTACTTTTATATCTATTTTGTGTTGATCGTTTATTTATGTTTGATAAACTTGTGTTGTTTTTTTATTTTTAGGCTCAAGGACGACAATTTCCTTTTTCGTTTGGAGATTATGTAGTAAAAATATTATTAGGCCCGATCGATCGATATTTTGATAATCTTGATCAAAAACCAGTTGGTTCACGCAATATGCAGGCATGTTGCTCTTTGATGTAATTCATTCAGATTTTTATTACTAAACAATAAGATAACTGTACAAATATTTGTCTTGTCTTTCTATTCTTGTTTTTTTTCTACTCCCCCTGTTTTCTTTCCATTTCCTTTTTTTTTTTATGTTGCACATCTTTTTCCACTCACAAAGGAGAATAAATCACCATTGAATAAGTGTTTTCTTTGTTATTTTTTATCTTTTTTTTTTCTGTGTCAATATGTTTGTTTAAAGCTCGAAATTATTGATTAAATTTTGATATTAAATTACTGATTTTAATTACTTAGCAATTGAGATTTACTATATATTTACTTGAAAAGAAATATAAAAGATCTATACTTTGGCTAGTAGAATTAAAGATTATAGTTTTTTGAAAATACATATATTACATATTGAATTCAATTACAAAAAATAGATTTATAAAATCAATTCATATAAAATATAATCATTTCTTGATTAATAAACGTATGTTCATATTAAGTTATCTTGTTACCAGACATTGCAGTAGTATCTATTTCAATAAATTAACATATAGATTAATTCCATTTTTAATCATCACAGCCACCGCCACCGCCACCACCACCACAACCGGCGCATTCCCCATCATCGCAACTTCCGCCTATATCTCCATAATCATCATAACAAGCACTAGCAGCAACGTAAGTAGATGGTAACTTTGAAGCAGGATGAGTAGGTTTGATATCTTTTATAGGACCTACGAATAAAGAAAAAAAAGAATTAAATTCAACTACACTAATTTGTAACATTATTCGATTAAAACATAGTATATCGAATATGTAAGATATATCTAATGTTTACAAATTAATGAAGATAAATGGCACTCATTAGTCATCATTTCCTAACTCTCTAAATCTTCTTCTATGTTTAAAAAAAAAAATTTATAATGCAAATTGCAATTGTCAAATAGAAAGAATATACAATCGTTTTTGTGTAGCATTTACTTACCTACTGATTTCTTTTGATTTTGTTTGCTGTAACGTAAACCCATGTGCTCTTAATAAAAATAGTATTGTACGTGTTTTAAACGTATCAGTTTTGTTCTCTTGCTTTTTATATTGCAATAAATTACGTACGTATGTACACTGAATCATAAGCGTATCGAAGTCAATGAACGAGAAAAACAAAAGTACATTTCCCATAATGACGTATATTAATTCGTCATATTCGAGAAGTATTTCATCTTGACGCACACAACAATGATATTTTCCTATTTATCTTTCATTCTATTATTTACCATGAAATAAACACACACGCACACATACAACAGAGCCATTTCATGACTGGGGCAACAAACAAAGTTTCTTTTTTTTTTTGACTTAGATTAAGAGTGTGAAGCAGAGAACGTGCATGAGAAACAAAACAAAACAAAAACAGATAAAGTGTGACAGAAAAACAACAAGAAAACAAAATTTAAATGTTAAGTATTCATTGTTGATGTCGATTGTTCATCATTTGCATCAAGCAAAGAAGATGATGATGAAGGTGTAAGAATAATATTCGAAAGATCAGCAGTCGTTAATGTAGCAGTAGGTGGATCTTTAGATTTAAAAATTTTATAACCAATACCAGCCGGTTTTGGTAAAAGTAGTGGAAGTGGACGAAGTGAAACTTTAGTTAAATATGGCGAAAAATTTGTTTTTTGAATTCGTTTAACATGTTGTTGATCTCTATATAGATGATTGAATAAATTAGAATATGAATATTTTTAAAATAAAAATTTATCTTACATAGCTTTAGGTACTGTTGATAAAGTATTTGCTTCACTCACTGCATATTGAATATCACGAGTGAGTCGATCAAAATTAACTTCATTTTTAGAAACAATATTTTTTGTTGAACTTTTATATATTGGTAATAAATTAGCTGGTTGTACTAATGTTATTTTTGATCGAATTATTGTATAATCTTCTTCTTTATTATCAGTATTTGTATGACTTTCATTGGAACGTGGTGGTGATGTATCATCAGGACAAAATACAGAATTTTCATCAGCACAATCTGATGTTGTATCATTAATTGATTTAATATTATTAGTTATACGAAGTTTATTACGTCGTTGTACATCATTCCATCGACGTACAATTTTTAATGTTTGATTTGAATTTGTTATCATAGGTTTCATTTCATGAGAATTTATATGACCATTACTATAAATTATTGATGAATTATGTTTATCATTGATATTAGTTGACGTATGATATAACTAAATAAACAAAATCTAGATGATTTTCTATTTTATGAAAAAGAGTTGTATTCTTTCTATTCAACCAATTAACTTGAATAAAACTGACTCCTAAGATTCGACAGATAGCTGCAAGGATAAATTTCTTTCGAATAGCAGACACTACATTTACAACACTTTTTCAATCTTGAGAAGAGTTATGCATTGCTTTCAATGGTCAGATACCTATATTTTTGCGAGTGTATGTGATAAAAATTTCTCTCGAAGATAGATGTTTTAAGTATTGAAATAGATATGTGATTGTGCTATCAGATTTAGTTGATGGTGAACTCTTATTACAACAAGCAAACAGTAATGAATTTAGAATGTCTTGAATGCACAAGGAATATTCTATTAAAAGTTTATATCCATCGAAAAGATTTGTTGGACGTACAGTGAATACTAAAATTATTCAACAAAGTTTATTTTCAATTTTCTTCTCCCTACTGTAAGCGTTAGAAAGAATCCAAATGAATGATACGAATAGAGAAAATGCTTTTCGACAAAATTATAAGGAAATAAAAATTATTATCAGATTTACAAAGATAGAGCCTCAAGAAAATCAAACTCCTAAATTTTCAACATCTTTATTTTTGGGAGGCTGATAATAATCGCTTATGACATGATAGATTTGTATATTTTAGAAAATTTTCGTGATAAATTTTAATTTTAGATCTATAAAATCTATTGATGTATGGTTTTCCTTTTTCATTTTTCTATTTGTATATAGGTAAAGTTGACTTACACGTGGTGCAATAGGTCTTGGTTTAAATCGTTGATCATTTCTTATTACTGGACGATAACGTGGATTAAGTAAACGTGTCATTTTTTTTGGTATTTGTAAATCAAAATTAGTTATTTGTGTTGTATTTTCAATATATTCATCATCATCATCATCGTCATCATCATCATCATCATCATCATCATCATCAATATTCGAATTATTATTAACATCAGATTCATCATCATCATCATTATCATTATCATTAAGCATTTTATTCATATCAAAACGTGTACGTCGATGTCGACCACGTTGACTTATATTTTTATTTGAATCATCAATATATGATAATGATATATTACTATTTTCATTTGTTTGACTTATTGATAACATTGATTCATCAACATGAAGATTATTTTCGAGATTTTCATGTTCAGATTCTGATGCAGTTATACTTTCATCACTTGTATATTCTTTTATTTTAATTTTTCTTTCAATAGTTTTTTTTCTATTATATTCTAAACGTTTTGTTTCAATTATATTAAAATTAATTAATAATTCTTTTAATTTTTCAATTAAATGATTTGATAATTTTTTATGTTCACATAATGGACAATACCAATCACCATCGGGTACAGATAAAAGTATTGGACGTAAACATTCAACATGATAAGCATCATCACAATCATCACATAATAATAAAACATCTGGACGATCACTTTTTAAACATACTTTACAAGTTGTTATTATTGTTGATGCTTGTGCAGTTTTTGCTGTACGTAATTCTTCACCTGTTGTATTATTATCTTCATCAAGTTCAAAAAAATTTTCATCATGTTCAATTTGAGTTGAATTAGGAAGATAATCATCAGAATTATATTCATCATCAGATAGATAATCAATATGTTCATCTGAACTTGAACTTGAAAAACGAAATTCATTATTTATATTTCGTCGAGATGTTGTTTTACGTCGACGACGAGAACGACCAGATTTATTATGTGTTGTTGATGTTGTTGAAAAATCATTGGAAAGTTTTGTTTTACTATTCATTGAACGTTTCCTTTTACTTGTGGACACCTAAAAAAATTTCAAAAAAAACTTATGGTGGTATGTAAACTATAAATTTTTATCTGAACAAAAATTTGCACTGTTTAGAACGTTTATAAATATATTCCAGCCTAAGTCTTGATCGGAAGGAGACAGCTGAAGAGGTGCCAGAGTGAGCTTGCTACAGGAGGGAAGTAGCCGTAAAATCTTAACTTAAAACTTACACTCACTTAATTTTTCTTCAAACAGTATGAAGTGTTTCTCTTTTATATAAAAGAATTTCATACCTGTGACATAGTTTTCGAAGAAATAATAGATGTCAGTTCTATTGTTGGTGCTTTTCGTGGTCGTGATGATCGACGTATAGAAAGATTTGTATCGTCAATAAATGATTCTTCATGTTGTTTATCATTATCTTCGATTTTAGAATTTTCATCATTACTATTGTCTTCCATAATAATTTTACGTTTTCTACCTCGACGAGCTGATGTTATGATTTCTTCTTTTGGTTCATTTTTTATTTCCAATTCGATTTGATTTTTTGTATTGTTTAATGATTTTATTGAACCTTTTGGTCGTCCACGTTTTTTCTTTATTGATTCTTCAGGTTTTTCATCTTCAATTGGTGTAAATTCAATGCTTTCTTCTTTTATATTCGTATCAATTTGCTTTGTTAAACTCTTTGGTCGTCTAGGTTTTCTTTTTATTAATACATCATTTGTTTCATTATGATTTAATATTGATTCAATTTCGTGTTTTTCTTCTTTTATTTTAACATCTACTTGATTTTTTTCTTTGGTTAATGATTTTATTGAACCTTTTGGTCGTCCACGTTTCTTTTTTATTGATTCATTAAGTTTTTCATCATTATGTGACATTGGTTCGATTTTCTCTTCTTCTTCTTCTTCTTGTTTTATTTCTTTTTTTAATGATGCTACTGAACCTTTTGGTCGTCCACGTTTTCGTTTTATTGGAATATCAGGTTTTTCATCATCGGTCGTTATTGGTTCGGTTTCCTCTTCTTCGTCGTCGTCGTCGTCCTCATGTTTTATTTCCATTTCAAATTGAGGTTTTTGATTTTTTATTGATTTTAATGTACCTTTCGGTCGTCCACGTTTTTTCTTTATTGATTCATCAAGTTTTTCATCATCATTCAATATTGGTTCAATATCTTCGTCTTCTTTCATATCTATTACAGGAGGTAAATAACATTTTTCAAATTCGTCGGAAAGTGGCAAAGAAGAAAATGGCTCATAATCAATTGTCCAGTCTAAAGAAAAAAATAATAAATTATTATCAAATGTAAAATTTCATGAGAAATCTTTGGATAACAAAATAAGATGATTTCTGAAGGATTTAGAGATGCACTCTTGTTCAAAATATTGATGTTATCTTTTGCACTATGAATGGATAATTCATGCGTAGAAGAATGGGCTGTATAAACTTTCCAATATCAAGACATTTCCTACCGAGAACTTTGTCGAACGACTACTGATCTTATAGCGTATCATTGGTGAAAATTGTTTGAAATGAGTAGGAGAGTCGCTTAGTTCTTTGATTACATCTGCTCATTATTTTTAAAATATCTTGAGAAAGAACTACAAAATGATCTACTTTTTGATTTTTGTTTCCTAATAGAACATATTTTTCATTGAGTACAGGATTTTCTAATTAAATTCTTTTTTTTTTGGCGAAACCCCAGTTGAATTTTTCGCGAAAAATCAATCTCAAAATTCAAGAAATGGTTTCTAGACGAGAATCAAGTTCTCTTACTAGAATCCATTGAGTCGAAAATAATGAATAGATATAATCACAGAACCAAATAATTCTCATACTCATTAATAAGAAAAAAAATACACGTCTAATACGTCTATGTGTGCGTGATACATTTATGATGCAGAAGTTTATGATTTATCTTACCGGAAAATTTTTTTCGAACAACAGAATCTGTAATTAATAATTTAATAAAATTTTCGAATTCATTTCGATCTCTAGAAAATCAAATATATATATATATAAATATATAATTTTTTTTAATAATATTTTATTTTATTTACTTAGCAACATTACTCCATGTTCGATCAATATCAACATCTTCACGAAATAGACGTATAAAACAATCAGTATCCTATTAGATAAAATAAATAAATTCATTATGATATCATTTAAAGAGATGCGTACCATAAAAAGCCAATAGGAAACTCCAAAACGATCACGACCTAACGGTGTTGATTTAATTTCTCTTGCTGTTTTATCAACAAGTGTATTTTTAAATGTTTGATTTAAATCAAATTGACTTTCAAGTAAATTCTAGAAATAAAATTTATCTTTAGCAAAAAAAGAAAAATCAATTCATTTTCATATTTATTTACTTTTAAAATTCGAATTTTAACATTAATTTCAGCTTGTAAATAGCCTGTTGTTGATAAATGATCACTATCATTTAAATCAAATCGAGAAGCAAACTATAGACCAAAAAATTACAATAAAAATAAAAAAAAAAAAACAATAATAAAAATTCGATTTACTTTCGTAATAATAGACTCAAATTTTTCTCGTTGAGTATTTTTAGCTAATGATAATCGTTTAAGAAGAATAAAATGAAAATCAATAAGACGTGGTGGAACTAAATCTAAACAATAACAAAAAAAAAATTTATTAACTAATAATCATTATATTAGACAAAAAAATTTACTTCGTTCTTGATAATTAATAAGATGATCTTCAAAACGTTGTAATGAATAATTTGGTAAATCGATTATAGATCGAAATTTTTCAAGAAAACAAAGAACTATACCATAATTAGGATCATTAAGTAATGATAATCGACGTTGATCTTTATCAATAGTTTCATTTTTTGGACTGAATTCAGTCGAAAGATTATCTTCGTTAATCATGCGTATTTTTTGTTGACTGTTATTGTTTGTAAAATTTTATTATTATTATTATTAATTTTAATCATTCGAATTGATATAGATAAATTTATGGTCTAAAATAAATAATATTTATATACATTGTATTTAGTTGATAGACAATAGAATAATGTTTGTAAGAAAATGGATGTATTTTGCTTTCATCATTTATGCTATTGTCCTCGTCCGCAACCGCTTCCATTTTTTATCATCTTTGTTAATGTTAGATTATGATTAGTTGAAGAACTAGCGATTAAAGACATAGAATTTAATAGATGTCTCTATTGAAATTTCAATTGTAGCGTATAAATAAATATTTCAATGAGTTAATATTCTTATACCCAATAAACATCGATTTACGAGAAATACTATTTTAAAAATGATATACAGTAAGACAAGATCCATTGTATTATCAAAATCGCCTTGAGTGTGAAATACAATAGATATAGACAAACACATCCTTTTGTCGATATATTTATGATGTCAGCAGGTTCACTTTTTATATAAGAATGGCCTTAGAAAATTTATTTGTACTATGTGACATTGTATGATGATTTTTTGTCGAGTTATTTAGGACGATTACAGTAGTATATCATTGAAAATATTTATTCAATGTTTTTCGTAGAAAGTTATTAACTGGAAATAAATTGAATTATTTTTAGTATGTCGTATGTACTTCTTTATTCTAATAGTTTCTGAATCGAGAAAAAAAAATCCATCGTCAGGGACATTTTATGTTTCGTTGCACAACGTAAATATACATCACCGACTACTGAGTCATTTTTGTTGCTGTCGAGAGAAAAAAAAGGGAAATGTTTTTACAATTCTCGTGTATAACTGTTTATATGATTTATTAACATATGTAAATGACAATCGGTTTTAAGAAGAGAAATTTTCAGTAGAATATTAATTGATTAAGTCTAATCTTTTTGATTTGTTGTATGTTATTTATTTTTTGTCAATTATCATCCAATAGAAAGAACAAAAAAAAAATTTTTATTCCTTATCTTTCGTAAACTATAATATCAATATGCGTAAATTATTAAACGATTGCAATCAAAGTTCTGATTACTGTAAGTATTACGTTGCCTATTGATAACTGTAAACGTTTATGAATATCATTATAAAACATAAGGAGAAAAAAAACAGAATCTTACTTTTCGTTGTCTTACCTGTATGACATTTAAATATTGTAGCAATTATAAATATTGATTCAGTCTTCATTTAAAATATCACAACAACAATTTAGTTTAAATACGTCCTTATCGATTAACATATTTATTTATAAGCATGGGAGTGAGCGCACTTCTATAGAACATTCTACTGATAAACAATCTGAAAAATATGGAATATCCATCAACGATGACGATGTAGAAGTATATCTTCGAAACTTGCTTTAAATTCATCTCTATATTTATGTCTCTCTTAGGTTTTAACAGGAATTTCATCCTATGATCTTCTTTGTTTGGGTGTTGGTAAAGGTGCTACTGCAGTCTATTCAAATCAAGCGAGTAGTTCATTTGCTCTTCTACATCGATCAACAAATGAATGTATTCTTCTCATTGATATTGGTCTTGGTTCAATTTTTGCACTTCAAAAATATTTAAAAAATCCTAATATTAAACCTCGACAAATATTCGTTTCTCATAATCATACAGATCATAGTGGAGAATTACCTGTATATATTGCTAATGAAGCTTTAAAATCTATCGTTTGTATTTATTGTTATATAGGCATTCAACCTCGTTTACGTCAAAATCGTTGTGCTGAACTTGATTCATCAACAACAGATCTTTTTCATAATGTAAAATGGATTATGTGTGATGAATTACAAGATGTTGAACTTGATTCAGGAGATCCAAATTCGAAATTAAAAATACGTGTTCAACGAAGTCAACATAGTGAATTATGTGCTGGTTTTATTCTTTATGAAAATGATCAACCAATTTTGAGTTTTTCAGGAGATTCTGGTTTCAATGCACCATTTTATAAATTTCTTTGGATGGCACCAACAATTTTAGTTGATGGTCGTACAACAAGTACATATGAACATGCTAGTTTTGATGAAATTTTAAATTTTTACAATACAACAGGTGAACAACGACAAGTTTTTGTCTATCATTATGGTCTTGAAAATGAAAAACCAACATTTCCTATTGCTTCTATATCAGCTATATCACCTGGTCAAAGTATACAATTAATGCTACCTCAGTAAATCATTTATCATTATCTTGAATGTATAAACACTTATTATTTTTGCGCTTGTATAGGAATATAGTACAAACAGAAAAAATGAAGAAATAATATGAAATATAAATGATAGAAAAAAAAACGATCAAATTAATTTCTCATTTTCGTAGAATCAAATATTTTGCTGTTGTGTTTCTTCAACTAGCCGAATAAATGTACTGAGTTCAAGGTATTCTGCTAAGAATTTGTCTCAGTGCATAGGAACTGATCAGGTACTGCCTCGGGTATTTGTTCAGTTTATATAGCATTTTATGAGAAAATTTTCAAGAAGTTACTCGAGTGAATATTTACAAGCATTTCTAGGTTAAGTACTCAAAAAGACAAAAGTGCCCCTAAGGCATTGAAATACTCAAAAGCCTCTATCACATAACGGTAACAGAGTACTTTGAATACATTTATTAGACCAATTATTAATTTTAATGCGAAGCCTTCAAATACAGGCAGTCGTTTATGAATGAATATTTATTTTTCTCTCAATGAGCTAAACTATTAAACGTATATCCAAATTGCTTGTGACATTCTTTATAAAAATTTTTATTTTATGGAAATTTAAGAAAAGACATATGCTTAGCTGGATAATGTGTTATTTTCTGTGATTAGAATTTAAATTTTCTTGAACAGCAGGAGCAACTTTGGTTTTTATGTAAAGCAATCATTCATTCATAAACTTATTAATTGTCAATCAATCATAGCATTGATTTCCTATTATAAAAAAGATATATATCTCTGATTAATATCGTTTATTTACTTGTGAATGAAATCAAGAATGATGATACATATTTCTGTTTCATTTTTTTCTTGTGAAAGTATCTATCAAATATTCTCAAACAATCCTTTTTCCAATATACCAAAAAACTTCGAAAAATTGTTTTTGCTTCATTATTTTTTTTGAAATATTCTAAATTTTTCAGTTCAATCACTAAAATCGAAATCAAATCATAATATGACTTTAATTTCTGTCGAACATGCTGCTATTGTATTTAATATAGATGATTGAATAAATATTGATTTTTATACTCCTATCTATACAACATCTTGAAAGTAAGCAGTAACTCACTGTGGGTACACAATTCCACTGAAGAAGTTACAAAGACTGGTATATACAATCCTGATGTGGATGTTCCAAACACTGCAACCTACTTGACTTCTTTGGATTTCCAATTTTCGGTCGATGAGTATATTTCTATTTTTTCAGAATTCAATATGATGATTTTCTTAGATACTAAAAAAAAGATTGTATCAGTCGAACATTTGAAATTAATATCTCAGACATAAGAGTTAAGGATTCATGTTTTTATGCTTAAAAGACCAGATGAATGTTTGTATGAATTTTAAATTATTGTTTATTTCTTGTTCTTTATTAACTGCTAAGATAATAAACTAAAAATATTACATTTTTGACTCTTTCTCGTATTCAGTGAATATAGAAAAAAGAAGCTCAATACAAGCTGAAATGTGACATAGAATAAACCTAATAAAAAACCGTACACAATTATTCTAGCTGGAATATGAATATATTCAATAAATGATCGACTTTGTTGATATGAATAAGAGCTTGGTTATTTAATACGACTAATTTTTTTTTATCAACACCAACTTATGCATTTGGTTCTTCTATTGGTCTTCCTGGTGGTTTTTGTAACAGTTCTTCTAATGTTTCTTCTTCTGGTTCTTCTGGTATAATATATCGTCCACAGATTTGTGTCAATGATTGAAGTTTATCTTTATCTTTTTGTGTTAATTGTTCCCATGTAAATCGCCAACGCCAATTTTCTTCATAATCTGGTGTAAATGCTCTGAAAAGATTATTTTTTGTAAAAAATAAAATTCATAAAATCAATTATTTCAACATACGGATCATTCATTTGACAACCTTCTTCAAGATTAAGTACATCTTGAAATAGAATAATCGATGTATTAGCTACACTAGCATGTACTGCTCGAATAAAATCCCAATTAATATTGCGTTTTAGTTCATCTTCATCTTTTTGTAAATATTTAATTACATTTGCTTTTTCTTTTTTCTTTGCATTATGACGAAACCATGCAACTATAAAATTTCGTGAAGACAAAAGAAAAAAGACAAGATATAATTAATAAAATAGAGAATTTTTTTTTATAGATAAACATTACTTGTTGTATTATTATCATGAGTACCAGTATAAACAACACTATTTGGAGTATAATTATGTGGTAAATATATATTACCTCCATTAGTTCCAAATCCAAATTGAAGAACACGCATACCAATAAGACCATATTTCTCACGAAGATCAAATACTTCTTGTGTTATAAAACCTAAATCTTCAACAATTAATGGTAAATCATCACCAAGTGCTTTGGTCACTGCTGTAAGAAATTCATCACCTAAAAAAAAATTGATTCAATGAAAATCCGAGAAAATATAATTAGAAAACTTACCACAAGCTATAACCCATGAACCTTTCTTTGGTGGTACAGGCTTTCCATCTGATTCCATTGGAATAGCCCTAAAAAGATAATATTTAATTCATTTCAAAGTTTTCGAGTATACACATAGAACCTATTGGTATTAAAAATATTACTCAAAAGTAAATATATCCTTTTTTTTTTAATGATTAACTTTAATTATTGTATTTCAAGTTTGTGTAGGAAGAATTGATTTCGATAAGTAGAGTACCAATTATATTAATGAGAGAACAGATCTATTTGTTGGATCATGTTATATTAGATCTCGATTCAAATAGAGACATATACAAAAATGATTGATGCTGATCACTAACCTCAATATTTTATTTTTTGATCAAACAGAATCATATTGACTAAATTCTTCCTTGCGGTATGGAGTGTTGCCTAGTAGCAGGTTCAGCAGCTTGATATCTTCCCTACAACTAATACTAGCTGTAGCTGCGGAAAGAAAGCCAATCTGATGTAGAGTCCTTGGGCACTCCATGCACACTAACCACAAGAGCAAGTGTATGTCACAGCGTAGTCAGTATATTATCGAACGAGCAATCCGAGACAAAAACAGTCGTTAGTGACTTGTCGAGGGTTATTCCATGGCTAGGGATACTGAAATTTGAACATAGTATCTAGTGGATACCTGTCGAGCAACGTAAGCAGCTAATTATGAAGATCCTCGTTAATATAGAAATTTCATGATGAAACCAATAATAGTTTATGCTCACGTATGCACGAGTTATCAAATCAATATCGGATTGAAAAACCATTAATTTACTTGGAATGAAACTCATTTTGAAAAAATTAGAGAGGTGAATCTCACATTCGAATTGTTCTTGAGTAAAATCTGTTAGACTTTTGTTCTTTCATAAAAAAAATCTATCTTACCAATAAGCTTCTAAACCACGAAAATGATCAATACGAAGAACATCAACTGTTTCCAAAGATTTTTTCAAACGTTTTATCCACCAATCGAAATTTGTTTTACGTAGAGTACCAGTCCAATCATAAATTCTAGAAAAAAAATGCTAGAGATACTACAACTTTATTTTTTTTCAATCAAGAACACCTACGGATTATTCCATAGTTGTCCGTTTACACTAAATGAATCAGGTGGAGCGCCTGAAATAAATCAAATTAAAATTTTTATCTTCATTATATTAAGAAATTTGCCTGATACTACTATTGGTAATGCAGTTTTTGGATTAAGTTGAAATAATGATTGATTTGCCCAAACATCAGCACTATCATAATCAACATAAACAGGCATATCTATAAATAAATTCTTTTCAAATATATAAGAATCAATAATTTTCTTAGAATGTTTTTTTTTTACCACCAAGAATGATAATTTCATGTTCATTAGCATATTGTTTTAATTGACTCCATTGATGAAAAAAAATATATTGAAGAAATATATGTTCATCAATAATACTCGCATGTTCTTGTCGTTTTTGTTCTAAAGCTTTTTTATCACGTTGTTTTAATTCTTTTGGCCATGTTGACCATGATTGATTATTTTGTTCAGATTTAATTGCCATATAAAGTGTATAATCATCAAGCCAATATTGTTCTTTTTTAATAAATGCATCAATTTCATTTTTTAATTTTTTTGGATTATTTTTATAATTTTTATATGCACGATTTAATATATCATATTTCCATTTCAATACTTTACGAATTTCAATTTGATGACCAAATTTTGGTCGACTAGATTCAATATCTGATTGAACAAGTAGACCAGCATCAACTAATTTTTCTAAACTAATCAATATTGGATTACCAGCAAAAGCTGATGTACCAGAATATGGTGAAGGTTTTTCGCTGGCAGTTAAAGGTAGAATCTATATAATGAAAAAAAAAATATAATATAATTTCTAAAATTTTTTTTTCTAACCTGCCAAATTTTTTGATTACATTCACATAAGAAATCAACAAATTTATATGCTTCTTGACCAATATCACCGATACCATTTGGTCCAGGAAGACTAATAATATGAAGAAGAATACCTGATGCACGATCAAGTTTTACCATTGTGGTAAATACAAAAGTAAAAAAATAATGTAAAATTAATGAATCTAAAACACAATAAATGTCTTGTATTTATATCCGAGACTATTGCTGCAATATTTTTTTCTTTTTTTATCTCGGGTCATATGAAATCAATTGAGTTCATATGTTTCTTCTTTCTTCATATGAAAAAGTCGTGTGTACTCGACACGTGCTATACCATAAAAGAATAGCAAAAGAAACCATTATCGATTACATATGGCGATTCTTGAGTAATGCACTGAATAACCTATTGAGATTTTTATTGGATAAATTTTCACAAAAAAATTCTCAGTCTTTTCTTTTCTGTTTATCATTATTTTTTCTACAAATTGGTTCAGTTTTTATATGAATACTCGTTCAAATCTAAGACGATGATAAAAAATTATTTGTGAACAATAGCGAAAATTCATTACAGATTAAAAACGCTTAGTGTCGCTAGATGACGCCATTATTGTGATGTTTCCATATGAATG